CCGAATTTGTAAAAATAAAATCCCAGCAGAAATAAATTTACTGGGTATTTTAGTTGATATTACAAATTTAATTGTAATAATTAAGAAACTTGAAATAATTTTTTAAAAAACGACAAAATTGAGATGGCAAATCCAATCGAAAATTGTAATTTTTTATTGTTATAAAAGTTTAGTTTCCTCCGTGTATACTTAATTGTAAAGTTTACCTGTATATCTACCTCCTTTTGGGTAGGTACTTGCCTTTTATTTTATGTTTTTATTTCTTGTTAAAATTTGTTGATTTCATGTAGCAACCGAACTAAAATATGCAAATTATAGGCTAATAATCATAATTTGTCCCTCGAATGTTTATAACAACATATATATAAAACTGAGCTACCGAATTTTAAAGGATCCTACTTTATTACTGCCAATGGTCGTAAAATATATTAGGTATAAAGGACATCTCCTATAAGTGTCGAATTCGGTAGCTGTCTCCTCAGTTTCAGTAGAAGATGAAAGGTGCCGCAAAACGGTCACTGTCCACAGTTTTGCCTGTCCCAAAGTGAATAATCGATATTTTTTTCCTTTTACTTCCCGTTTTAGATTTCAAAATAAGGCTAATAACATGTATGCGAAGACAAATGGCTGTGCAAAGTGCTTTAATGTTGATGCCGGGTACAGCATGTCAATAATTTATTTATTAATCTCATGTTAACTAATGGATAATAAATAATTTAATAATATAGTAATAATCTTAGCCTAACTTATTAGATAATTAGCGAAAGTAGAAATGGAAGGGTGGGTCAAGACGGATAGCCGTTTCACCACCCTGCATCTTCCTAATCTTGGATTCGATTCTTAACTCTCGACTTCTTGATTATAAATGATTACACAGGTAGAAGAGTGATACTTGAGTTTGTATAAAGAACAACACACATCGAAGACGCGATCAACATCAACTGTAAGGATCGATATACAGGGGCAAAAGATTAGTATGCTTAGATTTGCAGATGATACATCAGTATTAGCATCTAACAAGGAGAAGTTAGAGATAGCTTTAAATACAATAAAAGCAGTGTTGACAAAAAGTATTGTATGAAAATAAATAAAATAAAACAAAATACTGTTATGCCAGGGAAGAAAAAGTAGGGAAAGAGCGACTATAAAGATAGGAGATGAAAAATTAGAAGAGGTGGCTGATTTTTGACATATAGGAAGTCAGATAAATCAGGATGGAAGAAATAGTAAGGATATAAAGCAGAGGATAGCGCAGGGTCGAATAGCCTTCAATAAAAAGAACCCACTTTTATGCTCGCGAACGGTTAATTTGGAAATTAAAAAAAGATTGTTAAAGGTGTACGTTTGGAACGCGGTGCTGTACGGATGCGAAACATGGACAGTGGGGGTGGCAGAAAAGAAACGGTTACAAACGTTTGAAATGTGGTGTTATAGGCGGATGATGAGGATACCGTGGATAGAGAAGGTTAGAAATGAAGAGGTATTAGAAAGAATAGGAGAACAGAAGACTCTATGAAAGTCAATAACAAATAGGTGGGACACCTTCTCAGGCATGAAGGTCTAGTCAAAGACATATTAGAGACAAATAGTTAAGGATGTGAGGATGTTCTAGCCTTAGGGAAATGCAAAGATTAGCTCAGGATAAGAAGGAGTGGAGGTGCGTGTCCAACCAGTCTTAGGACTGACGACTTTATGATGATAACAATTTAGGAAAATCAGGATTTATATTTAGTATTCTAAAACATCCAATGTCATTATTTTCATCTGTAACTGATTCACATTTAGTCGATTAATTAGTTCTAGTGAATGAACTTTTTCCTTTTTTTTGTGTTTTATCCTTATCGCA